GCCAAGTTTAGGCTATTCGAGAAGTAGAAGGGATGGTATAGCAGTGTTGTTGAGGATGGTGGTGGTAGTACAATGGGTAAGATGTAGTAGAAATTGAAAAATTTGGGTACATAGATGATTGTGATGACAATGAAAGGGAGTGAAAGAACAAGAGAGAGTGATTGAAAAGGATCTATAGAGGACATATTTTATGTGGAAGAAGGAATGCTGCCGAATACACGAGGAGGGTTTTCGAAAGAATCACCATGGGGTTAGGAGAGTGGTGGATAGTGATGAAAGGTGAGTTTTCCATGGGAGACCAAAGGAGAAGGTAGAGTGAGAAATTGTCAGTAGGAGGAAAAGTAGACTTCACGTGCAGAGTTGACTATCCCGGAGTCTGAGTTGAGGAGGTTGAGGAATTTGACATTTCGACAAAGAGCAGACAATGATTGGGGTGCTGGTGTTACTCAGGCTATAGTTGATGTAATTCACGAGAAGTGGAAGACGGCAGAGATTGTGAGGTTGAAAATAGAAGGGGCCCCTGCACTTATATGAGAGGATGCATGAGATATTGAGGTTGTTCTTTGGGACTTTGTTATACTAATTATGTTTATTTATTTTGTGATTTCTTTTTTTTTATTTTTCTAGATATTCATAATTTGTTTTGTTTATGTTTGTGTGAGATTTCTGTATATTCAAAGAAGGTAAAAACAAAATAGAGCAGATAGTTGTACATGGAAACTTTGAACTGAACATATGTTCTGAATCTCAAAGATAAATCAAAGAGTTTAAGTTGTCATGGGTTCAATAGAGGAGCCTCATTGTATTCGGCAAATGTAGAGAACCTGGTAGCCATAAAGAACAGTGTCTCTCTGCCTATACATGAAGAGGCAGCCTTGTCCTTCAAAATGCTTTGACTCCTATTGTACGACCTCAATATACTTCAAAGCACAACCTCTTTGATATGTCGAATTTTTCATTCTTCAGTGTACTTTCCCGATTAAGTTGAGGCATCTTGAATCAAAAAGAATGGAGCTAATATAGAGCATACTGACAAACAATACTTTGGAAAGATTATAAGTAGTTTCCGTCACCTAAGCAAGCTGCTACTTGTCCATCTGTCATTTATACCAAAATGGAGAAGAAAACATAAGTTCTTCAAATTGATTGATTGCTAGAATTTTAATCTGCATTAACCAATTTTGGTTCTACTGATGCTTGTGTTTTTCTATTGTCTTTATTCCTTAGAGAAAACTGGTGGGTTGGTGATATGGAGATCTGGCACTGCTGTTTCTTGTACAGAGGTGTGAGTTTGAGGTTCCTTCTGTGCAACTGAACAAACGGATGTTAGGAGAAATGAACTACCTGCAAGCTCCTTAGCAGAGCTCCTGATAAACAGATATATAAGAGATGATAGATCTAGTTTATCCTTATCAAAAGCTACTGATGTACCTGCTCAAGATCCTTCCACATTTGGCTCTTATAATATTGTGCATTCACCTGAAACAAACCTGAAATGACTACTGAGGAGCAAGATAGGAATCAGTGCCAGAAGTAAAGTATGAATGAAGTAGACAAGCTATTAGAGTGTCTGGGTCCCAGGTATACAGATTGCAGGATGTGAACCATATCCTGTGGATGCAGATATGCTTCCTGGTATGTTACTGATTACCAACCTCCATTCAGATTGCTTCCTTATGGGGTGAGATCTACTGTTGGACGAAGAGGCAACAAATTTGCAAAGGCTTGCCCTGTGTTCTTCCTCCACACTTTGCCTTAGGTATGCCACATATCTTGGATAAGCTCATATGCTTCTGAAGATGGTCTTTCAATTACATGTAAATTTTCCTATCTTCAGGTCGAAGCAGGCAGCTCCAAGGTTTTGGCTGTGGCCGTGATTAAATTATGAAAAAAGTTCAATTGCCAATGGCTCTTAAACGTGGTGTACAGCTCACTACGAGTGAGAGAATGGCTGAAGATATCAAGGTAATATTTTAGAGAGAATTAAATGTTGTTGACTTCATCTGTATACAGTACTGGAATTATCTGTTTATATTTAATCAATGCAATAAGCCATCTTTATCAACTCTAAATGCTGTATAAAAACATTGGGTATTGGCTGCAGAAATTGACGGGTGGCAAATTGCTCTCAAGAAACAAGGATTTTCTGGTTTTCTATCGGGGAAAAGATTTTTTATCACCAGATGTCACTGAAGCATTATTGGAAGGAGAGGCTGGCTAAGTCTCTGCAAATGAAGAAGAGCAAGCTCGGTTAAGAGCATCAGCCTTTGTCTTGCCAAGTGCTGAATAAGTGAGCAATCAGTTACTGCAGGCACCCTTGGGAACTTTGGATGCAAATGCTAGATGGGGAAGGATGCTGGATGACAATCATAAGGAAAATGTGATGAGAGAGCTAATAATGAACATGGCCAGCCTCGTCAGAAACTGAAAGAAAGCTTGCTATTGTGAGTTCCTGAAAATTGGAAATTCCTGCTATGATCTGATGCAGTATTGTTCAGTTTCTATGTTATTGGGAAAACTTTTTTATTCTACAACACTCATATGGTTTCTAATCAACGTTACTGTTTTGCATTGCTTTGTAGATTCTTCTCATCTACACTTTGTAATGTAATGTGAAAAATAAGATATTATCATTTATTGATAGCATAGCACATCAGACAATCATGTGCATCCTTTAGCGTAATCTCCATAATTTGGCCTTCGGGTTTTTGTCGCTGTGAGGTGGACGAATTTTGGAGAAGTAACCTGGATTTTTTTTCTTTTTTCAGGCTGAGCGAAAGCTAATGAAAGCTGAACGAGCCTTATCGAAAGTGGAGGAGTTTTTAAACCAACAGAAAGACAAGCAATCCTGAGAGCTAAACTGATGAGGAGAGATTTATGTTTCGCAAGCTTGGTTTGAGATGAAGGCTTTCTTACTTTTGGGTAACAATCTCTTCACAACTGCCATATTTTACATGTTTATTTCAAATATGAGATTTTATGGGATTTTGATTTCTTGTTCAGGTAGGCGTGGAGTTTTTGATGGTACAGTGGAGAATATGCACTTGCACTGGAAATATCGAGAATTGGTTAAAATATTGTGAAGGTGAAAACTTTGATCAGTTAAAAAAGTTGCATTAGCACTTGAAGCTGAAAGTGGGGTGTCTTGGTTTCAGTGGACAAAATCTCCAAAGGTTATGCTAAATTGTATTCAGGGGAAAGGACTATAAGCGGCCTTCCATTGAGGCCAAGAATCTTTTGACAAAGAGGAAAGCTTTGGCACGTTCAATTGAACTCCAAAGACATGAGGTATCTTACAAAAATATATAGCACTAATCTAAATTACCGCATTTGTACATACATAACTGGATAGAATGTTCCATGTGCATCTGAAAAATACACTAGTTAGTCCCAAATGTTCACTAGTGAGGACAATTTTCTTGTTGCTGATCGGAAACTCCCAGGTAAGCCTGCTCGGGCCATAAAAGGGGGTTTCCACTGCCCTTTTCTGTATGTGAGCACCCAGGCTGAACTTGGTGTGTGTGTGCTGGAATGAGCCTGCCAACGCCAACCAATGTTGTGCGGTGATGGTGGTGTATAAACGTTTAGTGTTGGCCCAATTAAACATGGATCTTGCTTTAATCACTTCCAATATTTTCAGATACCTCTAACCTTGTCTGATTTTTCTCATGTATTTTTTGAACAGGCTCTTCTAAAGCATCTTTCCCTTCTGGACGAATGTAGGGAAACTAAGATTCGAAATTGTAAGGCTTACACATTTTAGCTTTTGCTATATATAACCTAGTTGTTGTAAATTGAAGGTATGATAGTGCCTTCTTTTAAACTAATTTTTTCGTCTCTTGCTTGGCATTGATAGGAACAAATGAACACCGTGAAGACCGGGAGATGTGGAGTTGTATGACAGATTAGATTCTGCTTATGCCACTGACGATGATGACATTGAGGTCTGCTTTCAGTTTACCTTCAGATCATTCGCTACTGCTTATTATTTAATCATCTGGTCTCACATCTTATTTCATCCTTGTGTGCCATTACAGCAAGAAAGATGATGCATATTTAGAGACATTGACAGTGGAAATGATGGTGAATATGAAAGTGATAACCCAATTCACAATCTCCCACAGAAACAAACTTCCCTTATCATGAACAAGACAGGAATCAGAAACTGAACCTGTAGATTCTGAAGATGAAGAAGCATATGCTCTAACCAATGAGTCTGAATCAAAACCAACAACTTAGGGAAGAAGTCAACAACTTTTAGTAACAATGGAAAGGAGCCGATCATCAAACATACTGTATTAATCATTAGATCTCAATGTAAACTTGAATCTGGCTGGCCCTTCATATTGTATAGATAATTATGTAACTCTTGTCATTGTTTAGGAAAAACTGCTACCGTTTTTTATGTTAGCAGATGAAAATCATCTTAATTAAAATAACTCTGCCGCCAACACACAATACTAATTTAAAGAGGTCCTTTCTAGATCAATGGGCAGACGTCAACTTATTAACAGCAAACAATCACAGTTTTCTAGCACCCTATTGGTATCATGAACCGTAGAATTTAAATCACACGGACATAATTAGGGCCCCACTTGCAAGACCTATTTCCAATTCACCATTGATCAATCTTGTCGCGTGACTTACAGCAAAACCATTGGCAGTATTTGTTTACTCTTCTCTGACTAGGAGAAATCACCGAGACCGTGTGAGAAACCTGAAAATTTGACCACGTGTTAAATATGTCTTAAAAAAGACTGCTCTATTATATAATAATATAGCCGCTGGAACCAAGAAAATTCGAAATTCCCAGAGTAAACAGAGACAACTAAATGGAAAATTTCTTTCAGAACAATTCTATGGCGACGGCGATATATTCTGGTTTAACTCTGAGTCTCTTCCTGTGCATCGAAGCGCTTTTATGCCGTATGCTAACGACCCAGAATTGAAGTTGGGTCAGCGAGTATTGGTAACGGGTCTAATCTTGGAGTCCACAAAGAATGATAGAATTCTTGAGGAGAATTAATCAGTCTGCAAAAAAGGAATCAGTGAACCGACAGAGAACGGGTCACCTGCTTATGATTAACGAGAGGATGAGGAGAGAAAGGGAGAAGCAGCATTACTTAGCCTTGCGTTCCATGTTGTCAACTGGCACCAGGTTAGTGAATATTTAAGGCTGCTCTTAAACGTGACACATCAATACACATTTAAAAAAAAACTGTATATTCATTGAAATGAGTAAGTTGTGTTATTTAACATTTTCTTTGTTTTAACTATCTCTGAAACTTATGTAATACGCTAATGGGCATGTTTTGTTATATCAGATTGACAAGAACTCGACTGTTCAAATGGCGGCGATGAGAATCCGGGAGCTGGAATGTATATGTGGAACTTGAGAGGAAAACAATGAGCTAGAAGCGAAGCTGGGAAAGGATACTAATGAGAACAAGATTGGAATAAGAGTAACTAATCCAATATCTGGGATTGATTATATGGTCGAGGCTCTTAAATCCTTGAAAAAGACGGGTTCAAGAATCAGAAATATTCAATCAGAATTTTCTGATCAAAACTGACAGCGGTAATACATGCTGAATCTCAGGTACGGGATTAAAACTGTAGATGGTACCTCTTACTAGAGATCAGTAGTTGTTATATATTTAGATTTAATTAATTATAAGAATGAAATGACAGATGGGAGATGAAGTTTGAAGAAGGCTGTTCAGAGAGCACTAATAAAGTAGAGCAGGAACTTCTTATTCCATTGCCAGGAAGTTTCGAAAGCCAAACAGAAGAGAAGAGGCTAGAAAAAGAAATAAGCCAATAACAATACAAGTTACCCAGGCTTTATATATATATATATATACGTGCACGTGTTAGAATGTGTGTTCGTCGTGTAAAACGTGATTATTTCAATACATACTACTTAAATTGACTAATACCGATTATATGTTTAAATAGCATTGTGTCCATGTCATTGTGCTGTATTTTTTTTTTTTTAATTATTAGAGTGTCTAAACTAGCTTACGTGTAAATTAGCCATCAACCTTAACGTACATGTACCAAACTTACTATAATTATTATTGTAAATAAACCCGTATCAAAGAAAATCTTTCAAGATAAACTATATAATGTTGGGGCGATGGCGATTACCCGGACAATTTAGGCCCAGTGTGAACTCGAACTCAGGTCAAGTCTTCCTCTTCCCGCGGAGTTGACGAAGGACTGAAGAGATAAACCATTTGCCAAGACAAGGACACCAGGTTGCCCAGGTACTCAGTTTGAAAGTGAGTTCACTATCAATTGTTCCCAGCCCCATATCTAGGTTAGATTTGTAAAATTCTTAATTGTTGTTTTATTATAAACGGATTATATTGAAAGAATAATGTTACAATTTATTATTAATTATATAATCCTATTTCCTAAAACTGTGATGATAACCTCCGTGTTTAACATACAAGTTTTTTTTTTTTTCTTTAAATAAAGTAATCCAACAGCACTTTGAATGGTTAACTGGTTAAGCATGTACGTTTTACTATAATTCGTCGTATTCGATACATCTTAAGGGCTCATTTCCCGTCCTTGTGATGAGCATTAAAATAGTACATTGTTCTTGTAACGAAGATATACTTAATTGCTCCCTCCCACTTAATACAAAAACGCCTAAACATCTGAAAACCCAATAAAATAATTTCCTGGCAGCCCAAAAAGAATGTCAGGATATAGTAAGACCCTACCTGGATAAAACCCCAAAAAACACAGATTCACAGATTGCTTGCCCCATCAACCATCATTCGAAAGCTGAAACAGTTAGGCCCCATGAGTAGAATTGTTCTAATTTAGATATTTTACTTAAATAAAATGAAACACAGAATATAATCATCCTCCTCGTTTCACTGAGTACTGAACGGCTCCAATTTTTACGATGATAAAGGAATACCAAATAAAAAGTGCTGCCTTCTGCAAGTCGACCATAATTCACTAAGGAAGCTACATTAATTCAAAGGAAACGAGCAGCACAAAATTCAGTCTGCAAGCTACCATCCGTCAAGGGAAAGGAGCAGAACGCAGCTACCGAAGAAAACAGAGACATGCATAACTATTACATTTAACCAATGGTGTTGAAAAACCAGAAACTTATTCTACCATAGAATGTGAAGAAACCATAAACAAACCAGCTCCTTTAAACTAGATTCTGAAGTTCCATCATCTAAATTAACAAATCAAACATTAATATGTTGTCCAGAAGTTGAAAGGGGCACAAACAAAAATTTGATCAACAACGATGTCTTTCCAGATAAAAACAATAAACTAAGTATCCAGGTAACTGGCATATATCTCACTTCAGAGGAATGAACCTTGAAGAATGGGTAGCACCAATACCAGGTCTACCGTGCTTCACAGGCTTGTATGAAATAGAAATTCAGCCAGGTAATGCCCAATCATTTCTGCTTGATTTCAACCTGATTAAAGGTCTTGCCATTGTAAACACCAATAATGCTTCCAATCATTTCTGGCACAATATCATGTTGCGGAGGTGAGTGCGAACTGGCTCAGGCTTCTCACCAGTGGAGCCTCCCTTTTCTGGTCCAAAACATCAAGTATTAATCAGAACCCGAAGACTAATTCCTTTAGTGTGACAATCAATAGAAAATAATCTAATAAGGATATCATAATCCTACTAAATTTTGACATCCATATCCTATCCTACATATATAGGTTTGATTACACAAAAACACTACAACAAATCATAAAATAATACCATCACATCAATAAGCAATAGAGAAATAAAAGAAAAAATATTAGCAACCATACATAGCATTTATCAAGACATCAACAAATTCTTCAGTCATAGGATAATTCCATATTGCAACACCAATATCATGTGAATATTTCACCTTGATCATCTTTTTGAAAGGCAGTTAAGAACCTAGCATATTAAAGCTGAGGTGTATTTTGAAATCCATGAAAAGGACAATTCTGCGACTATAGTAAGAAACAGTCAGAACCTAAAAACAATATTGATAAAAATAAACCCCAACTGCAAACTGCTACTTACAACAATCCGAATTCTAATGGTCAAATAATGAGACATGGAATCATGAATAACATATTTGACAACAGATTTTGACACTAGTTCAAAATCCAACATCAAATCTAAATCTTCAAGGAATAAAGATAATATCTTCCACATAACAGCTTCACAAATGTTGACAACTCAGTAACACAGATGCAGAAATGAAAGCACTTGCCACAAACCTAATCTTTTGCAAATTTATTACCAAACAATTACAAGAAGTTCACAGGCAAACAAGAAAGTTATAAGCAAATACAGATGATCTCTTCCAAAGAATACACTAATATGTTTCACTATTTAGAACGAGAAACAATCACCATTCACCGAAATGGAGCCAAGACTAGAAAGCACTCCTTTATAAATTCACAATATTTAAGTAAACACCACCCGACTAAAACATACTGTCAAGAGTTCAGCTATTATATAAACCAATCATTTTCAGAGAGTCAACAATCACATAAATTCTCCAGAACTTGTAAACAAAACCATCGCAACATACTATTCAAGCATCAATCACCGAATACAAAACCCAAACGAAAAAACTACAGAGTAAAATTATTACCGCCTTGCGAAGCTCTTGATCAAAGCCATGGTGTTCCGCTTTAAACCCCTCTGAAACCTAACAACAAGCAAAAATAATATTATAAAACCAAAATCAGACCATTAGTCTAGACATAAACAAATATGATTAAATTAATGTAAATGTGAAGTACGAGTACCTTCTGCGAGCACGCGGTGAAGAGCTTGACGAGCTCATCAGTGGACATGTCAGAGAGCGTCCAAATCCACTCCTCTGAAGGAGAACTTCTTAAACGTTCTCTTCTTTGGCTGCCCTGCAACCGCCACCTCAGTATCGACATTCGCCTTTACAAATACAATCAAACAAAGTTAGAAAAGACAAACTGAAACACTATACACAGATATGTAGGAGATGTTACCATGGTTGGGGATTGAAGTGATAAGAAAAGCCTCCTGCTTGATCTGTGGCCGCTAGGGTTTTCTTTGCGGAGTTAGAAGTGTTTGTGCTTGCAAGATTGCGCTTTTATATAGGGTTTTGTAACCCTAGATGGGAATGTCAATTTTTCTGCAAATAAGGACCTACACTCTTCCTTTATTTTAAAAGTTCGTTTTGGATATAATGATTTTCTCACCCATCCGGATTTCGGGAAGACCTTAGGATATGGTTTTTAAGGTGGCTGTTTTTCGCCTTTTTGTTTTCTAAATATTTAAAATTTTAGGGAAGATATTTATTATTATTATTTAGATTAAAATTTTAATTTTACGTAAAGGATAGAAAAAATACAAAAAAAAAAAAATTAGTGTTGGGTATTTTCGATTTTTTTAAATATCAATTTATTGTGTATTTTTAACAAAATGGTAAAAAAAAAAAAAAAAAAAAGGTTCAAACACTTATCTTTTTGAAAAAAATAGTTAACTTCATCTATAAATTCCACTATAATGCCTTTTTATTTTTATCTACTATACTTCTGAAATCATTTTAATTGGAGTAATTGAACAGAAGAGAAGTATAATTGTAAAAGGTTTCTCTATCTTTTTTTTTTTTTTCCTTTATGAACATAAACTTTATAAGCAAAATCAAATTCCTTGGAAAATAGGATTTCTTTGTTCAAAATAAATTTTGTAATAATCATGGTTTATTAAAGAAAAAGGTCATACATTCCGAGTTTAGCGATGTAACCTCGTTTTAGGTATACATGCAAATTATGTTATTATTATTATTATTATTATTATTATTATATTTGAGAAGGGGTAATGTGTTTAGGACTTGTTCATATTACTGTTTTAAAAGTCGGATCGGATCGGCCAGTCCAACCGGTTGGACTGTGAATCGGTCACGTGTCCGGTTCGAGTCAACCTTAAACCCGCTATTATGTAATAAACCGTTTTAACTCGTAATGGACCGCGTGAACAATACTGGATCGTCGGTCCAACCAGACCGCAAGAAAAACCAGACCAATTGAAAAATGAAAAAAACCCTAATTTCTTCCTTTCTCCCTTTGCGCTGTGCAGTTTCTTCTTCCTCAGTTCCTCTATGCGCAAAAAACTCTGAAAAAATTTGAATGAAATCGCGAAAATTTGAAAAAGATCACAAATCAAAACTCAATCTTTATGACGGATGCCAATCGCAACCATCCCTTGCTAAAATCGCAACTCGAGTCTTTGAAATCGCAACGATGCGTTCCTCCCTCGCCGGAAATCGACGCACTTGGCTAGATTTGTTTCCACTATTTTTGTGTTCAATATTTTCCTGTTATGTAGTTAACATTCTCAAATACTCCATAAGGGTCCTCATAGTTTGTTGTTTACTTGTGAATTCACAAATCTAAGCCCTTTTTCTCTCTGTTAGAGCTTGAATGATCTTCAAGGTGACATCTTTTCTCTTCGTTATTCATATCTCTACATGGGTTATTGATTCCAGTTGTGTTTTAAATTAGCAGCAATAAGTTTTTGTATTTTTATTTCTGTATTGCAACCCTA